TCTTCCTTCATCACCTGAGATGATCAAAAAACAGAGACTCTGACTGTGGCGGAAGTGGTGGCCGTGGCGGCGGCGGCGGCACCACTGAAGGTAGTTTAGACAGTAAGGCCTCAAGGCTTTTCATTGAAGGACTTGAATTCAAGTATGGGTCATAGAGAAGTTCAGGCCCTGGCCATTGTTGATCTGAAACTCCACAACCCAATCCATGAGAAAAAGAAGACGAAGACGATGATGATGGGTGTGGTAATAGCACTCCTGGGATGCTCTCTATGTAACTCAACATTCTCCTTAATTGGACCACGTAGTTCAGGTCTTCTATCACCTTCTGAACTGCTCCCAGTTGTATAACACCTTCTGTCACACTAATCAGTGCTATGGTCTGCAAAATATATACATATATTCATCGATCGATGATCTCACTGAATCTTATGAAGGAGGGTCTCTATTTCTAAATGATGAAGTGGAAAGTAACAGTTTCATACCGTTATACCACACTGGAACTGGGCTTCCCAAGTCCTTGGATACTGTTTAAAAAAAAAAAAAGAACAGTTGATGGATTTGACATTAAATTTATGGTTTTATTGTGTTGGATTGAGGAAGAACATGTTTACATATGTGGGGTTTTTGAATTCTCACCGATTCTGCAGACGCGGAGGCCAAGTTGATTTCTTGATCTTGAGTAGGTTCGCTGTATATCCACTTGTGGCTGCGTTCTGCAGCAACTTTTCCTATCAACCTGCTGGTCCATGAAAGCTAATTAAGAACTCTTTTAAAACAGTTAAAGAAGTAAGGAGTAATGCAGTAGTACAGTGCAATAGTTGGGTAATTAGGTTAGTAATGGATATTATACAAACTTACCCTTCTCCATAGTTATAGATCTCATGCGACATCTTGAAGAACAGCTCAGGTTGCAACCCTTGATAGTAATTCCCATTATAAACAGATGATGAAGCTGCAAAATTGCAGAAACCATCTTCCCACGCCAATATCCTGCATTATGCATTATAACGAGTTTAAACAGTATATAATTACAATAACATAATTCAGAAACCAAGCCCCGGTACCAGTTCCTTCTGTTTCCTCTTGATCTGTCATAAGTCCCTTGACCTTCCCACTCCCATCTATTACCAATCCGACCATGCAACAAACACAATCATTAGCACAGAACTAATACTATGTTTGTGTTTTTATTTCAGTGACAAAATCCTGATGCTTACTTGGGTGGTGGGTAGTTTCTAGGCAAGATCCTCCAGAAGACTGCATATACCCACTGAGAATTTTGATGAATGCACAGGCTTCTCAGTGTGTGTTGAAGAATATGTGTAGCAGCCAGTGGACTGACATGTTCTTCCATAGCCTTCAGTTATACAACCAATTACAGATGCTCTATCTGATCTTTCTTCTTCACTTTCACTTTCATCATCCTCGTTTATATAAACCCACCAACTAGGAAAGTTCACATTTATTCTTCCATCTCTCTCTCATCAGTCATCACGCTCGCATTTTCTTGTGGGGTATAGAGGGTGAAAATTGGAGCTAATATAATATCTTATATGCTTTTCTGGGACCCCACCAGTCTGCTTCCTTCTCAGTTCCTATAAGACCTCAGTTTTCATCTTTCTTTGAAATTCATATTCACCCAAGTTCATGTACAGCTGTCAGAAACAAAATAGCCAATGTTACTCACATAATAATATACTCTTCCGGTCCTAAATATAAGATCATTTTTATAGTGTCTAAAAAGATTTTATATTTAGGATTGAAGGAGTATATAACAACTATATTTTTATTAGATCATTTTAGTATTTTATAGTCTTTTAGTTCAAGGCATTGCATAAATATGAAATGGATGCGTGTGTGATTTTTCTGTGTGTATTTTAACGTTCAGTTTTCCGACACTGTTTAAGGTAGCTACTGACCCTAGTACCAGAAAAAGTTCCTGAACCGCAACCATGTATCAAATTCAATCCAAACAGATCAATACTGCAGGTCATAAATTTTGCAGAGGATGATAATCTTTGCATCTGTTTTTTTCTTTTCTTTTCTTTCCCCCCTTCCTTTCTATTACTCTATATTATCATAATTATTATTACCTTATATGTATATAAGGAGAGTAGGCGAAAGCGAAGTATCAGCCATACATGGATAACTGTGTGATATAGTGCTCTATTAATTATTGCAGTTGCAGGCAATAATGATAATTACTGAGTCAATATAATAGCATCAGAAATAAAGTCATTATATTTACTTCACTGCTGTTTTTTGCTTCATCCATCAGAGGTACTGGTGGCCTTTGTGATGCCACAATGCAAGAGAATATGAATGACTGGCTGGGGAACTTGTGGTCACCTTGCATAGGGTAATATATATAGGCCGTAGGCCTTGTTTGATTCTGTGCTACTTCTATGTTTTCAAAAATTGATTCATAAAAAAGAGATTGTAAAAGCTTTTGTTCTATAAACAGTTTGGATTCATCAGAAGAGATTGTTAAAAGCTTTTGTTCTATAAACAGTTCTGGATTCATCAGAATTAGTACTTTAATCAAGTAGCTAGACTGGTGGGCGCGATAGTCACTATATATATATATATATATATATATATTACACTGACGCGAATCCATACTCAGGACACTGCCATCTGCAGAATCTTGAGAGCTTCTTAGTTCTTAATGACTGAAAACCTAGGCATGCCATTATAGTACGTCCTTTCTTAATTTCTTTTCATTGGAAAAGGATTTCATTGCTTGAAAGAAGGACGACAAAGTAATTAGCCTACTAGATGCATGCTCTTGTGGAATTCCTATTCATGTTCGGGATGTTTAATTGAGGATGAGCTTTGAAGTAACGATAAGGTTGCCATCATGTGACCTGGAGGTCACAGGTTCAAATCCTCAAATAACTTCTTCGTTTGTGAGCGTAAGTTTGCATATATTTGTCCCTCTCAGGTCTCACTTGGTGAGAGCCTTGTGTACGTACTGGTCTGTCCGGATGCTATTACATTTCATATGTATAATTAAGTTTATTGTACTTAATATGAGACTTTGCACATCAACTAATATCATAACATATAAAAGACGGATTACCTAAACGAACAACCTACTCCTCCGGTCCTTATTATAAGACCCCATTGACTTTTATTGGTCCTAATTATAAGACCCCAATCCATTTTGTCTCTTATTTATGCATTTTTTTCCAAGAAATCCTTCTAATAATGATAGTTTTAGCCAATATACTTAATTAGCAAGGATATTTAGAAATGACAACACTTATTATTATAAATAACCAACTTAACTTACTTCTTTATCTCCTCAAATAAGTCATTTGTCTTATAATAGGACCGGAGGGTATCATTTACCATCTTCTTTCTTTATATACATGGCATGTAAAAAACAATATATTGCTATATATATGTCTCCATGATTTACTATACGGACATATCAAACAAGATGTTTTTCTCGTTTTTGTCTCCGCCTGTGTATTATGTTTGTTTGCACCACACCAGAGAGAGAGAGAGAGAGAGAGAGAGAGAGAGAGGAATTAATGATTGAAGAAATGGCACACATAATTGAGAAGACGTACGAGATGCTAAGCGCAAATTAATAATAATGAACGATTTTAGTTAAAAAGGGCTAAAGTGAAGCTATAGGTCTTTTCCTTTGCCATAATCATGTTTGGTTCGAACGGGATGATGATCATAAGGGCATGAAGGTGGACAAGACAGACAAATTCTACAGAAGGTGATGTAAGCATTAACATTATCATTTGAAATGCTCTTTGGATTTTTATTGGGAGAAAGCTGTGTTCCACTCTTGCCTTGTGATGTGTTTATCAATTATTTGTGTCACACACACATAACGTCTATATATTCAGAAAACACTACGAAAATTGAATCACAAAAAGTCCAAGGGAGGGAAAAACAAATTAATTAAGAAGGCCACGGGAAGAGATCGAATTGGTCAAGAGTATTGCGTGTTGAAAGTATAACAGTGATACAATCACCAAGATACTCATCAAAGCTAAAGTGTCTCTGGAAAACCAAACACAAGCATTTATTGACAAAGTCTGGCTTTCAGAAATGTCTCCGGCAACTCGTTGTGTCTCTTAATTAATTTGGTGGCAGTTTTTTGGGATAATGGTTGGGGTTACACACATCCCACGCGTACGGTGCTTTAAAAATTTGAAGGTTCTGATAAAAATCCACTTGACATATATAACTATAAGTATTAATCTGCTTTAATATGGTGCTACGTACGTCACACATGCATAATTAGTATTTGTCGGTGGCACTGATTATATTTAAATATGATGACGAAGACCCTATATCAAGTTCTAGTTTCATCCTGTCGGGCTTATTCCCATTTCCCAAATGGTTTATGGGAAACAAAGAATATTAATTACTATTGAAATTAAGCCTTCACAAACAAGATAGGATTAAAACTAATACGAATATGATTCATACATAATTAAATGGAAAATGAATTACACGTGCAAAAATTCAAAAAAAACTTTTAAAAATAATTTTAGGTGTTGGGTGGAGGGAATTATATATGGGCACTTTTATTATCAGTAGTTGTTGCAGCCGACAAATATGGGGTGGAAAAAGCTGTAAAATTAAAGTGGAAAGCCAACCCCCAACATTGAAATAAACGAAGAAGCTGGATGCCACACGGCTCGACTTCTTTCGACTATTACTTTACATCTTTAGTATTAAAATTAATTTGACTTTCAATTTAATCTTAAATATAATATTTTAATTTATTTTGTTTTTCATATTTATCTATTTTTTTAAAACTAGTCCTTGTAATAGTTGTAAAAAAAATTATTAAATAATAGTTCTAACTAACACACACGATTAGTAGAGCTATTTTAAAGAAGACTATGCCTATTTATTACAAACAGGTAACAAATTTTTTTAATCTACTCACATTAATGAATTAGCTCTTTTATTAAGAATCAGGCTATTATCATTATTGAACCCTCACTCTTCTCTGGATCCTCGGCATACATGAAGAGGCACATTACAAAGATACTATATATGTTTGATTAATCAAATCAAGTACCCTCAATTAATAATTATATACACGTTTTTAATTTACAGTTAATAACGAAAATTAATATATCTAAATGGGTGGTGGTCCTCTAAATGGCAGCATGCATTTACGAACGTACTTCAATTTTACAGTGAAAAGCATTTGACGGATCGCAAATACTAATTCTATATGCGCCCTACTCACGGACTGGTATTACGTGCTGTCAAAGTTACTAGCTAGTAAATTCTTTTTAACACTGTGATATAATATTGCGCTGTAGAAACAGTGAACTGTATAAGTATATATATATATATATATATATTTCAGAAAAATTCATATATATACACTTCAAAATTAATTAAATGCAGCCCAAAAGTCAAACTGAAAGCGATTGATCAAGCTTAGCTCTTTAATATGGACAAGTGACATCCACTACCACTCCCCTCAAACACAATATTATATCTTCAAGCTCATCCCATGAAGGTGTTTCCTTATCTGCTGTCATGTGTGTGTGGTGTGGTGTGTGATATACAGCCATCTTCAACTCACACACACACACAGAGATGTTGTTGCATCAAAATTCAAACACTACACACAAAGAGTTATCGTACGTACGTTTGGACATGAGAGGTCCACACGTCTAGCCTGTAATGTTTTGACATCCATCCACTAATTAAAACGTTGTGATTGTGATTGTGTTTTTTTTGTTTTTGTTTTTTAATGCAACAGACATCATACCTGCTGTTCGCCACAACAAAGAGCTTGCAAATAATAATTGGTTTATTACGTTAGGGCTTGTTTGGAATGCAGCTAGGAAGCTCCCTCCAAGCTGACTTTTGGAACCCTAAAAGCTAATTGAAATAAAAAAAAAAAATTTATGGTTCGTATGGTTCTCCAGACAAATGATTTTTGGCTAAAAATCATATCTAGTTGAAGTAACTTTTTTTATTTCCGACTTTTTTATATTTATATTAATAATTTTTTTATAAAATCCTGTCCAAATATAAATTATATTATTTAAATAAATTCTTGCCAAAATTTTAATTTAAAAAGAATCAGTTAAGATGAAAGTCGAATTTTTTTTTTTAACCGATATTAAGAAGGCATTAGGCATGGACTGTGTGTGGCGTTATGGTACAAACACGATGCTTTGTAGTTCATGATTTCAGTGAATATATAGGTACGAGAGGGTAGGCTTGTGATTTGGGGAACTGGGACTTATTTAACAGCATGCGTTCATAATATGTCATGTCAAGTAAAGTTGAAAAGACGGCACGCACCCTTGATGCGTTAATCATTTATTTTGCTTCATCATCTCCGGTGTAAATTGCATATGAGGACAGATTTTGATCTTCAATTTGGAAATTATTTACTCCCTCCATTTTTTCAAAAAACCATTAAAATCGTACAATTCAAGATATTAGTTAAATTTAATTAGAAACAAAAAATATATAAAAAAATATAAATAAAAATTTATTACAAAGAGATAATAAATAACATATATTTATTGATAATAAAAATTGAAAGGCTAGTTTAACATTGTAGGTTTTCCGACAAAAAAAAAATTGTAACTATAGAGTATTTGACTCTTCTATTTAGAAACACACCAAATGGAGTAATTAATTATATATAATAAATAGATGAAAATTAAAATACAAGTACAAATAATGAATGTGGGAAGCGAGTTCATGTATCCGCAACAATGATTTTGTGGGAATTAAATAATATCGGAGAAAAAAATATTAGTGTCAGTTGTTAAGTGTGGAAGGTGGTATGGTAAAGGGTAATTAATGAGAGGGAAGAGAGGAAGCGTGTGAAAGGGACGTGAGATGGACAGAGTGGGATAGAATTGGCGTGTCATGTACCTTCCCACAGCTGTGCCTCGACTCAGTAGCGACTGAGATTTATGGATGGAGCCTCTCTAGCCCATTCCTATCACATATTTTTGTTTTCTTTCATAACTCACCAAAATTAATATAATATATTTAATTTATAGTTGTTTTTTTTTCTTATTTTATACTCTTTCGGTTCTAAATATGAGACTTATTTTATAATGTAAATTACATTAAAATATAAGTTTTATTTAGGATTGAAAGAATTACATTACAAAATAAATATTATTTAGAACCGAAAGAGTACCATATACTTTTCTGACTCTATTCATGAACCATTTTTAAAATAATGTTTTAACAAAATTAAAAAACAAACTTTAAATTAAACTTACTGACTTTGTTTTAAAATTTAATAACATTTCAATTTTGGGGGTAACATATACATTTTTTGTTCCGATACAGCTGGGGGGGTAATATGTTGAAGGAAGGAGGGAGTTTAGTAGGAAAATGTTGGTAGCTAAGGGTGAGTGTCCCAAAATGAAAGGCGTGGAAGGTGGATGGGAGGGAACATCGTACATGTTTGGACGCACATTATGGTATTCCTACTCCTAATATCAAACAAAAAAACAAACAGCCACCATTTCAGTCCTCCCCTCGAAAAACCGGGTTGACTGCCACCTGTCCCTAACCCCCCAGTCCCTCCACCTCTCTCCATGGGCCTCCTTATGCTATCTCTTCCCACCCCCCCACCCACACACACCCAAAAAAAAAAAAAAAAACAGTAGCATAGTCATAAAATCTAATCAAATTAATTTAGGGGCAAGGGAGATATATTAATAAGTCCCATCAAATGATCAATCCCACTCCTTCCCGTCTTTTTCTCTTGTTGTATGCAGCAAAAGAATGTCCCCCAAAACTATTTAATACTCTTGATATTATTTATAAGGTATTTCTAATATATTTTTCTTTTTTTAATTTTATTAACTCTATTTATAAAATTAAATAACTTTTTAAATTTACTATTATTTGTTATTTAATATATATAATTTTTAAGAAGTTAATAATCTATAAAACAATAAATTAGGGAATAAAATTGTATATTCATATAATAAATTTAGCTGAGCGATTTATATTAATAACAAAAAGAACTCTCTTTCTATAAGGGAGAGGAGTGTTTATTAATTACCAAATGTTTAACTAGTTCGTAATCTAAATTGGTGCGTCATTCTATTCATCATCATGGTTGGTGATTAATTCCATAATCCGTGGACTGGATCATGTATGCCTACAGATGACCCACCATGATTTGATGGGGCGCTATCAACTGTAAAAGATGGAAGGGTTGATGGGCTTCGATCAAAGGCCCCGATTGGGCGACAAGCCCATCTAGCCCTCTGTTCGATTTCAGCCATGGCATATCGGACTCGGGTCACACAGAAGCCCTGATAGTTACTTTTTTTTTTTTTTTGAAAAAATAACCTTTGTTTATAATATTTGAAAAAAAAGTGCTTTCAGAGATTTTGTTCGTTTGTGATCATGTTTGAAACGTGTGCCGTGAAAATTTACTTTCTCCTTATCTTTTAAAAAAATTCGTCATCTTTCATGAGTGCCTTAATAAATTATTGGCTAAATTTGATGGTTAGTGGAGCATATTTTAATTCATAAAATGATGCACTACATAATATTCGACCACCAAGGTATAAAAAGTAGACGGATCTTTCCATTAAACTTGAATTATATGGTCTTTTCCTTTCTGATGCAGTGAGTGAAAAAATGGGGCCGGGCAAGAAATTTTTGTTTCACTTTTCTCTATTGCAATGCTCCTATCTATTTTCAAACATGAAAGAAAAAAAGAAGAAGGAAGAATTGTAGTTAGATGCTAAAAAAGGATGTAATTACCTTAAAATACCAATAATAAGTGAATAGCAAAAATTAGTTGTCATTGCCTTCGGGAACTTGTCGCTGCATACTCTTTATGTTGTCAACAGACTTTAAGGTAATTAAATTCCTTCTTTGAAACTTAATTACAATTAAAAAAAACAAGATTTGGTTATACTATTTAAATACAGTTTGGACAATTTAAATTTCAAATTTTTAGCACATAATTTTGAATAAAAAATATTTTTAATTAAAATTAATTTTATTGCTCATCATTCAGAAACATTTCCTCCGCCGTTAAAATTTCTTTCCCCTCTCTTTTGTTGAACCAACAGGGTCCTAGTTCTAAAAAGAAAGTGGGGCATGGAGCACCTATGTTTCTTTTTGTAATAAAAAAATTGAAAACGACTAAAGCGGGCGGGGCAGGGCAAGAGGAATCGTGTCCTGAGGTAACAGGCGAAGCTGAGAGTAGAAAGAGTCAGAGGAAAGCGAAGCAGGGGAAGGAGCAAGAAAAAACAGAGCAGAAGATCAATGGAGGATCTGAAAGTAACAGTATTAATGGTAGTAGCTCAGGTGCTTGAGGTAGGCATGAACACTCTGATCAAAGCAGCCACCGCCAAAGGGATGAGTGACTATGTCTTCATGGTCTACTCAAATGTCATGGCTTTCTCTCTCCTCCTTCCATCTTCCTTCCTTTATTACAGAAACCGACCTTCTCCCTCCATCACCATCTCAATCTTCTGCAGAATATTTCTTCTCAGCTTGCTCATGTATATATATTATCCTTTACGAAGAAATCAAAAGGCTCTGTTTTGATTACTTATTTGCGTATCATCAATCTGAATTCTGATGATGTGTGCGCAATTGTGGAGAAACTTGATGGATTTATGGTGGAATTTGTGGTAGTTGTGCAGCGCAGACATTATTATATACAGGTATTGGATATAGCTCTCCAGTTCTTGCTTCAGTCATGTCTGATCTCTCCCCAGCTTTTACCTTCCTTCTTGCCATCATTTTAAGGTACGTCACCCACCATCTTTTGAACTTCAGCTTCTTTAGTTTATGTTTGTAAGAATGCAAAGAACGTTCTTGGGAAAATAAACCCCTAATTAGACCCGACAGCTATGATCCAGCACTGCTGGAGATGGGATAGTGAAAAAGTAAAACCAGATGTTAGGCAAATCTGCAGATATGAAAAAGTGGAGGTAAGGCAGGTGAGCAGCCATGCAAGGTGTATAGGGACAGTGTTGTCCATTACAGGAGCGTTAACAGTGACACTGTACAGAGGAGAGGCAAATGGGGGAGATTCCAAGGTGGAAGATGGGTGGCTTCTCGGAGGCATTTTACTTGCACTCGGCAACTTCTGTGTTTCAGTCATTTTTAACGTCAAGGTAGCTACCCTTAGCTTTTCCATTATTTTTGTTTCTGCGTCCCTTTCGTGTTCATAACCACTCAATAATTATTGCTTAATTACACTTGACTTTAATCTAATTTCATAAGCACCTCTGTCGCTTCTATATGTTTGTATTTTGGGTACAATTTTTTTAAAAGGCCACTGGACCCTGTATAATTTATTTGAGGGCATAGAGTTGACAAAAGGGAGCAATTTTATCACTTGGTTAACTGAGTTAAACGTCCGTTTGGGGATTTTGTGAGTCCCACAATTTTTCCATGCCTGAGGTATCTCCATCGTCCATCAAGGACGCGACCAACCTCCTCAACTGCCATTAACCAGGCATCGTCCTCCGCAGCTCAACTTCTCCAAACTTAGTATTTCTCCTCTTCCTTCTAAAGATCTCTTCAACTCTCATCACTCCAACTCATTCACCATTCAACTCTAATTAACCAACGCCTTCTGAATAATATTCTCTCTCTCTCAAACTTGCCCTCTCTTACTTTGACGTCAGGTCACATGGCTCTAGAAGCTCTCAAGTCCCCCACCGCTGTTCCTTCCTCCTTCCCTTTCGAATTAGACTCCAATTTTTATTCCTTGCAGCGATGGACTAAGAGCCCCCGTCTCGACCATCCTTCGTCGTGCCTAGGAAGAGTATCTCGCTCTCTGTCTCATTATGATGGCTCGCGGTGGCACTAACCCGCGCCGGAGGGGGAGATCATGCTGATATCAAGATGAGCTCTTTGGTTTTGTCTTGACTCAAAACATTTATCAACTAAAAATTAGTTTCGGCTAGGTGAAATACTTGGCATTTCCACTCATGAAAAATTGTATTTAAACTACTGATGCATCAAATCCTTTAAACTTGCTACAAGAGGACTTGATGAACAGCAAGAGCTTCAACTGAAAAGAGAGAAAATTGAAAATGGTCGTTGAGAATGGTCTGACCTGAATCTATGAGAGACAGGTAAAGATGGGAGGCAGGAAGGCCGGTCAAGGTGACAACGGAAAAGACAGATGAAAATATTTTATGCTTGAGAAACGGAGATGATAGGGAAGCTTGGTCAAAGGGAGGAATGGGAAAAATTTGTGGGGCTCACAGAAAAGGAGTGGAGAATTTTTATTGGAGAGTATGAATGACATGGAGACTATGTGAGAACCACCAGATTAAAAGTAACCACGGTTTAGGTTTGTTAATGAGAGTGGTAAAATTACTCCCTTTTGTCAACTTCCCTACATCTTTGCGTCCAAATAAATTTTATGGTTGCCAATATCTCTTAAAGTAAACTTAATTGAACAAAACATCATACTCCTTTAATTTTTAATATGAGACTTAATTAACTAATTTTGGTAGATTAAGAATGTTAGTTAAATTAGTTAACATATCATGTTTTTTTAAAATATTTTAAGAATCTTTTTAATTCTCTGACCCTCTCTCTCCTACTTAATTATTGTTAAAGAATTTTAATAGGGTTGATTTGGAAAAAAAATTAGTAAACATATAAAATAGGTCTTACGTATAATATTAACATCAACTCTCTAATTAGGTTTTATATTAAGCAGTGAAAGATGAGCATTAAGAAATTACTCAGATATATGGGGTCCGCAATTACGCTTGAGGCTGCAGCGCATACTTGTATTCATTCATTCAAATGTAAATTAAATTCCTCTTTGCAATAATTCATCTAACATTTTAAAATATATTTTTAATATATTCTAGGTGAGTGTTAAAGAACAATTAAATCATTAGTTCTTTTTTTTTTTGCCAACTTAAGTTATTATTGTATTGATAGTAGTCATGGTACGTACATCCGAGTATGCAAGAATTTTTCATATACAAGGAACCCGGGCATTATCTTTCAGTGCTTCATAATCTCACAGGCATCAGCTCGAACTCATGCCATGTGGTTTATTCAAAGCAGAAAACTACATGACGCATCAGAAAAAATACTTCTTTCCCTGAGCCAAGTACCTTAATATACTATGAAGATAAAATTTTACCATAAAAAAATACTCCTCCGGTCCTTAATATAGGATCTAATTGTTGAGTTAGTTTTGGTCCTAAATATAAGACCCATTTATTATATTTATCGAGTTTCTTTAAATTACCCCTATGGACACTCTCTCAACCATAATCAAGTAGAAGAGGGAGAGGTGGTATTAAGAAAGATGATTATGGTGTTTTAGGAAAAACGTGTCACATTTCTTATAATTAACTAACTTACCTAATTTTCTTAATCTAATCAAATTGGTTGAATAGGTCTTATATTAAGGATCGGAGGAGTATTTTATAGTATTGGCTTAAAAAAAACACTTAAAGTTTTCTTCGAAGTTAGGGCAATCTCTTTCTCCCTTTAGACCATGAGTGATTGTTTGTCTGCTAAGTTCATGAGTTAGGACTCATAAAATACTTTAAATATTTCATAATGTTAGATGAATTATAAAATACTTTAGGGCGTTAGTTGCAACTGAAAAAAAATTTAAAAGTGTTAGCTAAACCTTAATCCTAATTTTTTTAAAGGGCCGATATTTCTTTTTGTGTGGAATAAACAAAAAACGATACACACATACTTGGCTCGATATATATATGCAGACATGGATAATGAAGGAGTATCCTGAAGTTGTGATGGTGGCAACCATATCATGCGGCTTTGTGGCAGTGTTATCCGCCATTGTTGCTGTCATTGCTGAGATAAATAATGCTCAAGCATGGACTCTTCGCCCTGATCTGGAGCTGGCCGCTATATTATATTCTGTAAGAAGCATACAACAAACAAACACCACATGCATCATATATTTAACATAAAATCTGATATCATTATTTGGTATAATTAATACTAACACATTATATATCACATATATATTACTTGCACATTATATATATATATATATTCATGTTCCATAGTAATCGCTAATATCATTGATATAAAATACACATATGTAGAGCATCATTGTCGGATTAGTGAGAAGCATGATGTATATATGGGCATGCGGAAGGAAGGGACCTGTCTACGTCGCCATGTTTTCTCCTTTAGGGATGATCTTCGCTGTTGCCATGGGACTTATCTTTCTCGGCGAATCTGTTTCTCTTGGAAGGTACCCTATAAGTTCCAAAAATTTCAGATTTATAAGTTAAATTTTTGAGACTTTCCCCCCCTAAATATATGTATAGTTACAGGATAATTATAAAATGATAATAACGAATATTTTTGTGTTTCTTGTTGATGAGGCAGTGTGATTGGTGGTGGGGTGATAGCTATTGGGTTTTATGGCGTTCTATGGGGTCAGGCTCAGCAGGAAAAGATGGCTTTTGAGAAACAAGCAATTTGTAGCTGTGTGTCTTCATCATCGTCTTCTTCTTCTAATAATGCAGGGCCTCTTCTTCAGAACCAACGTGTGTGAAAGTGATATTAAGGGTTATGGTGGAAATTTGTTTTGGAAGTTTTCCCTCACAAATGCCAGGTATCTAAAAGTATTTTTGAGAGCAAAGTTGCCCCAAAAGTTTAAAATAGTAGTAATATTATCTTTTTACCGTTAAAAATATTGATAGTTAACGTCATTATTTTAACTGTCAACGTTAGTCTTTTGACAAATAGGGATAATATTGCTATAATTTTAAACTTTTGAGACAAATTTATTTCAAAAAACATTTCTGACACTGGAACTCATGAACGAAAATTTTGAGACAAATTTGCACATTAATCCAAATATTAATATGATCAGTTGTTTTTCATTACTGATGGAAGTATAGTCCGCATACGCGCAACTTTATAATTCTTTGGTTCTTTGTGAGCGTGTTCACAAATAGTCTACTTAACTGATCTGTTGATGTACGGAAATCAAAATGTCCAATAATATTTAACGGACGTCAAAGGGAATATAACCAAATCATCAATCGTGTTAGATAGGCATCAACGGCACGAGCTTATAGATAGGGTCGAAACTGCAACATTCTTTTTACATGGAAGCTCTCAATCTCATGCCACTAGAGTATAAGACCAACCATGATTAAGTTGATTTAATATGTTTTATTCAAGTTTACCAATTTGATTCAATTTAAATAGATTTAACAAGTTAAAATACTGAAAAAATTGCATCCTACTTGCTCGCTTTACGTGCGTAAGAAAAACATATAAAGGTATGACACACTATCATAATGATTAGATATCACAGTATCGAAGTAATGCCCTGTTTGGTACTAGGGAACTGGAATTAAGGAATTGGAAGTGGAAGTGGAACCAGCTTATATGCATGTTTGGTGTCCTGGAATCGACTTCCTCATGGAACCTAGTTCCATCAAAAACGATAGAACTTGATTCCATGCTCCTACCCATGGAACCGAGTTCCTACCTCAATTCTTTTCCCATTTTCTACCTCTGCCCTCAATTCTTCTGGCATTTGTGAACACTTCGACCCATCACCTTTCACACTCTTCTTCTCTGCTAGTCATCACTCTACCTCCAAGGCCGTCACCGACCGTCCACACCCACAGTTGCCATTGTCTCTGTTTTGAACTCATCTGCACACATCTCCCTCTAGCATCCACTTGCCAAGGCATGTATTTTCATTGAAATTATTCTTTTTAATTTAATTGCTGTATTGCGATGCTTTGGGGCTAGATTTTGAGCTTGCAAGCGGTGAAGTTTTTTTCTATGCGCTATCACGGTGGACGAGTTTAGGTATGGAAAGGAGGCTTCCTTTTTTTTTTTTTGGGGTTAAAGGGGCAATTTTGTTCATTCATATTTTATTTACATATATAAATTAGAAATAATACTCTTCGGTCCTAAATATAAGACCCCTTTTGTAGTGTAATTTACACTACAAAAGGGTCTTATATTTAGGTAATTACACTACAAAAGGGATCTTATATTTAGGACTGGAGGGAGTACATTACTTTCCTAAACATACCAAACACATTTTAAGTCCCACTTCCACTCTCCATTCTAATTCCACTTCTATCCAAAACTCTTCCATCATGGGACATATTAGTTTTAATAGTTATTAGTTCAAATTTAAATATAATCAATTATAATTAAAATAATAGTAATTTATGACGCTTGATTTTCCAAACATCAAATCCACCTTGTTCACTTAACTAAAGCTCGGGCAACTCGAGTTGTCTTACTCTTTCTATTCTAAATATAAAACACTTATATTAGTGTTGTATAAAGATTTTATATTTAAGACTGGAAGAGTATTTTGTTCATTTATAGTTGTCGCAGACGGAATCATGAAGAAGTGTACCAGAAAGAAAAAGCATGACTATACGTGAGAGACGGGGAGAGTTTCCAGTACCAAACCTCCGTTATGTAAATTATTGGACCAAAAAAAAAAAAAACAAAAGACGGGTCCTTGTTTTTTTGCCACATTACATGGGTCCTATGTCACGCAAAAAGCACAGCAAAAATTCTAGCCCCATTCTATTTTCTCAATTATAATTTTTACAACATCTTGTGTATATGAAATTTTAACTCATTTTTAATTAATTTTTTTTATAATTTTTTCAATTATAGGTATTACTTCCTATACTCATAATTTTTCAATTTGTACGAGAAGCTGCATTACTAGCTGATAGTGTAATTCTCACTCAACATACAACTAAATTGATGTCGTCATATGCGGATCTAAAAAGATTAAAATAAACCAAGTTACGGTTATACTTTTTTTATGCCAGCCAAATTATAGATTATACGGTTTATACCCATGCTAAGAGACAATTGTGAGTATAATAATTTTTTTGGGTTAATTTTACCACCTAGAGTAATTTCTTTGTCTTTAACATAAATCAATGTATAATTTCACTCTTAATTTATTGTTATATATATTTTATTCTTTTGTACTTCTCATAGAAAAAAGTTGAAAAATTATTAAATTCTGAAATACAGTTAAAAAATTCAAAATTTTGCTTGGTACAAATCAAACATGTTAGAAGTGACAAAAAAATAAAACGTATATAGTTGAATAAAGGATTGGTTTGTATCCAGCACTATAAAATATTTTATGGTTTATCCAATATACTGAAGTATTTTTTTCATATGCATCCAACACCTGTAGTATTTTTTTCAGGTCCGTCCTTTACCATTAAAAATACTAAAAAAAAATCTTTAGAGTACTTGATGTATATTTCTTTAAATTTAAACAATTATTTGAGGAGTTAATGCCTCTATTAAAATTGCTTTTAAAAAATACTTTAAGAGCATAATGCTTTTGACAAAGTTAATACTATTTCTAGTGCTTAATATAAGAGCTAGTTTAACTTTCAATTTGGTCCTGAATATAAGGCCATAATCCATTTTGTCTCTTATATTTAATTATTTTTTTAAAGTAGTAATTGTAGCGGTTGCATATGTTAAAAATTTTATTAAATGGTAACTTTAGCTAATACATATATTTTCTAGGAAAGACAACACTTATTTATTACAAAAAATAACTAGTTTAATAAACTTTTTTAATCTACTCAAATTAGTCAGGTAACTCTTATATTAAAGAGTGGAGGTAATACTTTAAAGATAAAATTATATTACAAAATAATCTAAGACACTTTAGGTTGTTGGATAAATAACAAAATAGGGTGCACGAAGTCCATTAAACCTTTGAATAAATTGATTGCATGGTTGAAAACGTCTGTAGGGTATGGAATTGTCCGAAAGCAATGAAGGGAGAAGGTGAAGGTGGAAAGAGCACAATAAATACACACACACACATAATAGGAAAACGAAACAGAGGAGAGGATCAATGGAGGATCTAAAAGTCACAATACTAATGGTAGCAGCTCAGGTGGTAGAAGTAGGACTGAACACTCTGGTCAAAGCAGCCACGTCCAAAGGCATGAGCGACTATGTTTTCGTTGTCTACTCAAACGCCATGGCTTTCTCTCTCCTCTTTCCATCTTCTTCTTTTATTGCAGAAACCGACCTTCTCCCTCTATCATCTGCAGAATATTTCTTCTCAGCTTGATCAGGTTATTTATCTACACATCTTTTAATTAACCGTCCGTAAACTTACCACAGGAAGAAAAAGGCTGTGTTTTGATCAGTTATTTGCCCGTCAATCTGAATTCTGATGGTTTGATATAGTGGAAATTGTGGTAGTTGTGCAGCGCAGACATTGACATATACAGGTATTGGATACAGCTCTCCAGTTCTTGCTTCAGTCATGTCTGATCTCTCCCCAGCTTTTACCTTCCTTCTTGCCATCGGTTTCAGGTATCACCCACACCATCTTTTTAACTGCAGTTTATTTCACTGGCCATGACGCTTTAAGCATAACGTCTTCATGATTTTGTGTTTGTATGAATGCAAAAAGAAGAGTTTAATTTCTGGGAGAGTGAACTTCTAATTACACTCGACAATACTTGAATCTAACTTAGAGGTACAGGCGATCAGCTAATTATATATTATTCAACTTCCCGAATGGATCAGAGTGGAACCTGGATTGAGATGTGAGGTAGATTATATTATATATTTGCAGATATGAAAGAGTGGAGGTGAGGGAAGTGAGCAGCCATGCAAAATGTATAGGGACAGTGTTGTCCGTTGCAGGAGCTTTAATGGTGACATTGTACAGAGGAGAGGCAAATAATGGAGGTTCCAAGATGGAAGACGATCGGGCAATGGTGGGGTCACAAGGTGATCAGTGGCTTCTTGGAGGCATTCTACTTGCAGCTGGCAGCTTCTGTGTTTCACTGATTCTTAATGTCAAGGTAGGGTTAGGTTTTACGTTAATCGCATGTGGGCCTACCTCTCAATTATTACTGCTTAATTACACTTTACGTTTAATCCAATCTCTACACATTTCTTCATCTTTCTCATCTATATTTGCTTTTATACATGTTTTTGCTTGCCGTGTTATTATAAACTTGTATGTTTAACCATTTATTTAAAGTTGATAAGATCTGTGTGTCTTTCATCAACTCCAAATAGTGATGTTTTGACTTTTTTTGGTTTTTTTTTTTTGGGGGGGGGGGACACTGTAGGAAACTACTCAGTTAAAGTTGCAGTGCATACGTGCCACTATTTGAAAGTTTTTGTTGGATCAATGCCATCTCTTGAAAGGGTTAAAAAATTAGCAGAATAACACCGACCATTAACATTTTTAATAGTCAGAGGTGATACTGCACCCTTTTTTGGTGTCATACTGATCCAACAAAAAGCACAAACTTCTTAGACAAAATTGCATTTTAGTCCATTTTTTCAAAAACCGATATTTTTGTGTGGGGTATATACCAAAAGGGAAAAAAAAAATGATACGCACTATTTGATGTATATATGCAGACATGGATAATGAAGAAGTATCGTGAAGTTGTGATGGTAGCAACCATATCGTGCGGCTTCGTGGCGATGTTATCCGCCATTGTTGCTGTCATTGCTGAGAGAAATAATGCTCAAGCATGGACTCTTCGC